CTTAAAAAGTAAAATTAAAACATTAAAATATTTTTAAAATGCCGTGAACAAAGTGTTACAAAACATAAAAAAAATATTACGAACCAGTCTAGTCTGCATGTATATATTGGTTATAATGATATGTTTGATGTGGGTTGTGGAACGCCAGTGATAGGAATTGACTTCCTTGCTTTTCTTGATATACACAAATTATTTAAAAAGTCATTTATAGTTCCCCGCGCGAATAGTGCGAATGTTTTATTATGCTCCCATCGTCCCAATTTAGAACAATTAGGTGTCGAGTTACTTTAATCCTACCTTTCAGGGCCGACCCGGATTAGATCTACAAACCTACACAGGGTGGAGTATTTTCCTCACATTTTTAGTTCTTTTATGCACTAAAAGAGAAATAGTTTTGGGTGTTCTGGTTTTTTTCTTGTTTGTGTTTTTTAATCAATTTTCTTTTTTGATTGCAATGTAGGTGTTTTTAAACCCTCGTCAAACGCTCGTCAACAAAGTTTATTTTATATAATTTAGGGAGCTAGCATGGCCAGCCCGGGCTAATAGCGACCAAACATTCCAGAAGAAAGACTTAGATAATAGATTTATTAAAATCCTCCCCACAAGGGGATCGAACTCGGTTCTTCTACGTGCGAAGTCAAAGCCCTTTACCGCTCCACCACAGACACCGGCTTGGTAGAGGTTGGACGTACTTACTTTCACATTTACTTTTTCATCCTCTGATGCAGCTCTTTCAATTGGAAGTACTGTATCAAAAAACCTTGGCTGATAATGGTCTGTTGGGAACAACATGGATATGACATATGAGATATGAAAGCTATACATGGCCTAAACACAAAGCAGATAACGCCCATCCCATGTGGTAGCTTGTGTTCAGATTCCATCTACATGCTGTTGAGTGCTTAGTGTAAGACTCAGCCATTGGCTATTGTGAGATGTAACTTATAACGGAGTTTTGCACTCAGCTGTCAATATGCATATACAGTGTAACTGACTCCTTTGGCCATCATTACTGAGGTAAAGATTTATTATTTTCTTTTATTCCTCAAGGCTGGGGATCTGTTCTCTTGGCGCTATGAATCCCCACATCCCTTGCATTGCAGGTCTGTCAACGTTAATTTAAACTTATTCTATTTTTAACAGGACTTAATTTTTGCAGCAAGTTTCTTTGCCTAAGGATCTGCCAACGTATCATCATTATTCTATTTTACCAGTTGATCTTTGTATGTGTCATTACTATTAATAATAGTGTCATGCGACTTAGACCCAATACCCACTTCATTGTTAGTTACGTGCATCGAAGATCTCGCACCATGTTACTCGTTTTATTAATATGTCACTCACCACTGGAATCGTACCTGATCTTTTCAAACAAGCCATTGTAAAACCTTTACTTTAAAAAAA